CTAAATAACCGTATTCCATATCATCTGAGTGCTTTGATCTTTAATGTATTTATTAATAATCTCACCTCCCCCATCACAGTAGAGAAAAAAGCATTTCTTCTACCACTGTACTTAGGATCTTGGTTATTCATCAAGTTGCTCCACAGTAACTGTGCATAAATCACCTTTTTCTAATTCAGTGTCCTAAGCAGAGGTGTTTTAATTTCACTCCTATTCTAATGCAAACTAACTCTCACAGCCAAACAAACTTTAAGTAAAGGCAGCAGAAGTTCAGGTCAGCCTCCAGTTAGCTCTGTCGCTGTCACCACCTCACTTTACAGTCGTGTAAGATCCCACACAGCTTGAGAAGGCTCCCCTTTGTGCTACTACAGAAACATAGTAATGTAAAGCATGGGGTTTATTGTGATGAGCGCTTTGTCAAAAGGCATAATTGTCACTGGTGTTTATAATTATCACTGGTGTTTACATAAATAGGATCAGGCCTTTGATGTGATAGAATAAACTGCACATTATACTACACTGTGTGCCAGTTAAACGTGGATGAAAAGAAATGGGAGGTCTGTAACACACTGAATTACCACTGTGCAGTTTGAGTGTGTGCATGAACAAACACGGACTAAAGTAGTCTGTCTATTCAGGACTAACTTCTGCCACTAAACTGGCAGAACTTCAGTCTTCACCTGGAAAAGTTCCCCATAACAGACCATAATTTCTGTGTGCCAACACTATGGTTGCAATTGTCCTGCTCAATGTTTCAGTGACTCTTGGTGATGCTAATGAGTGGTTAAAGCACTTGCTGAGGAAGTACACCCCCTGTTCTGTCCCTACTGTCACTACTCCTGCCAGGTACATTTCTCTCAGAAGAATAGGGCTTTTATTCTTTATTGAACAGTTTTAATAATAGTATTTAAAGAATTTGTTAGCTCAGCAGTTTTCTGACCCCTTCATATGGGTTGTTTGCTTAAAAGTGCATCCAAGGCAACTGCTGATCCTCCTGCAAAATAGCAGGTAGGTATCCCAAGAGTAGAGGTGGCAAGAGTGAGCTTCAAGGTTAAAGCTTTGCAGCCTTCACCATGACTCTTACACCACCTGAACCTGCCTCCACAAAACCAAATTACACCTCATTTGAAGCAGCAACAGCCATATGTAAATCATGCAGAGTTTATGACATATTTCACCTATAGCTCCTGTGCATTTTATATGTATCTATAGGAATTATGTCTAACCTGTAAATGCCTACAGATTAAATCAAAGAATCATTACAGTTGGAAAAGACCTCAGAGATCATCAGGTCCACCCTTTGACTGAATACCACCATGTCCCTTAAACCGTACAGCAAAGTGCCATGTCTACTCATTTTTTAACACTTCCAGGCATGGTGACCCAACCACTTCCCTGAGGTGCCTGATCCAGTGCTTTGACCACCTTCGCTCAAGGATAAAAGCTTTGAGCAAAGTACAAGTGCCTGTGTAGAATTTTAACTGCTCTGTATGATGCTTCCCAACAGTTGCAATCATGGTAATTATATCACAGCACAAAAATAGCACAAAGAAATTCTTGCATAGACATTTCTCTGAAAAACAGAAGAGATAGATCCTTTACAAGGAAAGGACTAAGACTCTAAAATCAAAAACACAGCATAAACTATAAGCAAGTATTTCATGGGAAAAGTAGATGGAAAATGTGTAAAAGTATTGTTTCATACTATGAAATGATGTTTATATTTCAGCTCGTCATGTCCCAAGAGAAGATTCTGTTACTACCTTTATCCTAAAAATACTTTTCTTGTTGATGTGTATCATTGAAAAAGACCACAGTAAATAATATAGAGGTCAGTTGTACCTTTAATCCATTATAAAGCTGAAATTCGATTTTTCCCTAAAAATAAAAATGCCATTGTATAATCATCCAATGTCTTATTGATAGTTTCTTATTTTTAGTGATTTTAAGGAGGCAGAAAGGAGAAGAACAAGTTAGTCTTTGATGTCTGTGGTTACAACAGTAAAAAGCTAGGGACTTTGAGAATAATTTCAATCTAATCAATTTTGCTCAGTTGGTACAACATTACAGCAATAAAAAGGTTTACTTCTACAAGGAAAAAATCAATTAATGAGCAAAAGCATAAAAAAGAAGTGCAGTGATCATCTAAGTGGCAGAAGGTGACTTCCTGTCTCCAAATTCTCATTTTCACATCATCTGCTTTTCTGGCAAGTGCTTTATACCAGTGTTAAGCAGGTTTAAAACTCTATCAAATACACCAGTTACACTTTATACTGTATTAGCACATGTGGAAGTCACATTACCAAGCGCAGGAGGGTCAAAAATGTGAGATGAAAAGACATTGTTAGACCATCACAGAGGCAGTGTTCTTCTTGACTAAAAAGGAATGCCTATAAGCTACTGAAATGCTTTACATGGTATGAAAATAAATCTCAGTGACCCAAACTAAAACCTAATACTTTAGATTACCAAAACTCCCTCAAAAGTAAACAAAACTAGCAAATAAACTAAAAGACTTCAAAGCAGGAAAGATCTCTTCTAAAAAGAAAAGGAGACAGAACATTTTGATACATAGATGCCAAAAAACCTGCACTGGATAGAGACAGTTACCTGACCCTAACTAAGGATGACAAAAGGGTGACCGGTTCTCCCTCCACACCATTCAGCTCAGAAAGATCTTGAGATTTTGCAGTGCCACCACACATCCACATCTGAACTGTTTGCAGTGGACAGTGGCACAGACTCCAGATGTATGTTTTTACATTTGGGTTCACACAGCCCAGAGCCCCACATATGAACTTGTTTGGCCCCCACAGATGGCAGGTCTGCACATCAAGACACAACATGCTGTGAAAAGCAGAGCTACTGCCTTTCTGTGTCTGGTCCCTGCTGGCATTCAGATCATACAGGCTGGTAGTGAGCCACATCAGTACTGATCCAGTGACCAGGTAGTCATCTGATGGCTAATGCTGACACAAGCAAGGCACTGGGAATGCACAGCAATGGGGAACGCAGGGTTTTCTGGGTGGCTGAGAGATTGGTTCTGGTTGTTCCAAGTCACCAGAGCTGGCTCTGGTGTACTAAACCAACTACAACCAACTTAATAAGTCTGTGTAGTGAGTTACACAAACCTCTATTATGTAACTTTATAGGCATTATATATACAACTATACTAGATATTACTCTTGTTACCCTTGAAAATATTCTAGATAGGAAATACATTGTTCAAGTGCTAGAAATTGATCTTAATGCTAACCAGCAATCCCTATCTTTCTTCAAAGTATCATCTAATTTGGATTCTCCTTATGTGAAATGCAGGGAACATGTAAAAATCTGAGGCTGTGTATAGATAAATCCCAGCTAGAAGATCTGGGTGCCCCAATCACCCAGGGCACAGAAGCACAACTGAAATACCTAGATCCATGAGTATGACTGTGGATTGTGGATGATTCAAGAACCATGCAGACACAATCCTATCCAATGTGCTCTAGGATAACCTTGCTTGAGCAGGGAGGGTGGACCCTCTGTGCGTGATCCTGTCATTGACAAAAGCTGAAGCTTAAACTCCTTATGTATGCCACACTGAAGCTAAACATTCCCCAAGCACCCAGTATCTGAAGAGAGCCTAGGTTTGGATTCCAAAGGTTAAGTCACAAAAAGATCTGCCAAACTGCAGCACTGGGAAAGGAGCCTCCCTATCACAGGACAGGGTTTCAAATCAGTCTGCAGAAGTGGACACAACCTCAAACACTGGAAAGTGGAATCTGCTTAACTGCAACTGTTTCATCTGAAAGGCTTAGGCTGAAGATAAGTAAAGCTGGTAATATGCTAAATCCTACCCTGAAACCTTACCATTTCCTCTGAGCAGGAATTACACACCTCTTTGCTCAGCATCCCACTTACTTCAGCAGCTATGCAGAAGTCCCTGAAGTTCTGTCCTTGCTACCAAGCAGTGAGACCAAACAGGGAAATGTTACTAGAGTGACCAGGTTGTGCAGAGGAGCCAAAGGGAAGGTGGCTTTCTCCTTTCAGCTAGCTCTAGCCTGGTTCCATGAGCTGAAAAGCCATAAGTGGCTAAAGGACATCTTCAAATACAGCATCATCCAAAAGCAATCCAGCAAATGCTCTCCAAGGTGCTCTGAGATTTAACCAAAGCTAATTAGGAAATGTGCATATTTCTCGCTGAAACAAAAAGTGCTGAAACAGCATTATACTACACTTTTACTCACCACAGAAACTGTACTAGGCACCTACATATTTTGCACAGGAACGGGTGTCTGTAAGTCACCAGCAATGTCACTGATGTTTCATCTATGCCCAAGCAGAATGTACCAGAGACGAAATCTGAATGCACCTTGGTCCTACAGAAGTCAGTGTGAGTCCTTTGTGAGCAAAATTCTACCTTCCAAGTCTTCCATTGCTATGTTTTTTATGAACTAGTTGGAAAACAGTTTCCTAAATGAACCTCTTAAGAAGCCCTGTAATTTAGCTCTCCGCAAGGCTCACTGCAGTGCCCGATGCTCTCCCCGCTCCTGATCACGGGACAGAGGCCCCTGACCGGCGCGCTGGGCTGGGGTAACCCCTGTGTCCCTGCACCGGCGGTACTGCCCTCTGACCAGAGGAAATTTTCCTGCCATCAGAGCCAAGAGGACGAGGGGTTGTTCGCGCCGCGGGCCGGGGGTGCCGGGTCCCTGTGCTGGCGGTGGGACGGACGGGAGGCGCGGCAGCGCCGGGCCGGGGTCTGCGGGCGGGGCCGCGGTGCCCTTGGGCAGCGGCCGGGCGGGCACCTCCCGGCGCAGCGGAGCCCCGGGACGGGGCGGCACTGCGGGATGCCCGAGCGCCGCGGCCGGCGGGGCGGCAGGGCCGGGCGGCCGCGCCATGGAGGCGCCGCTGCCATCCCTCCCATTCCCTTCCATTCCCTTCCGCCGCGCCTTCCTTCCTCCGCCGCGGCGCCTCCTCCCCGCGCCGCTCCCGCCCGCCTCGCCTCGCCCTTTCCTCACCGGCCGAGGAGTGGATCTTGGAGGATTTCCGCCGCAGGGACATCTTCAGCGCGGTGTCCAGGCCGGCCCTGTTCGGCATGGTGCGGCCGGCCGGGCGCGCTGGCCATGGGCCCCCCCGCACGCAGACGCCGCGCTGCGGCCGCCGGCACCGCCGCGCCCGGGCTGCGGGGGCGGGCGAGGCGCTGGCCCGGGCCGGCACGGAGATGCTCTCCCGGGAGCCGCTCACGGCTCCGTGCGCCCGCTGGGAGCCGTCGCGTAAGGTGCCACGAAGTCGGGGCCTGGGTTTGGTGGGGGTTTTTGAGGTGTCTGTCTGGAACTAGTATTTTACTAGACATTTTGGGCGCATAAAGCATCCCAAGAAAGCCCCCGCTGGGATCGGGATCCCTAACCGGGCTTCTTTGTTCCGGTTACAAGGACATCTTTCATCACTGTGGCATGCTGCCAGTCTCATCACAAAAGAAACCATTCCTTCTCAGAACGTCCAGTAAATCAAGGATAAAAAAAGAATTAGAGGAAAGATTAATCAATGTAGCACTTACATCACATTTGCAACCATGAGAATTTACCTACTAAGGACAAGCAAAGAAGGAATGTAACTTAAAAAAAAATAAAAATAAGTTATGTAAAACAGTGCCTCTGAATCTTTAAGATCCTGATCTTAACCAGGCATAGCTAGCAGCAGTTGCCACATCTTAAAGGGTTGCTTTCTCTACCAAATGAGCTTTAAGGTAGAATGGTTTAAATGAGGCAGAATCACCACAGGATGAGGATACATTGACTTTTGGGAAGATCTACTGCATAAGAAACGGTCCCTTGTATCTTGAAGGTCTGTGACAAACGACCCTAAGTCTGTATCTCAACCACTTGACCCCACAGAGTTGGCTACCACACATAATGGGTAACTTGGGTGTTATTTCAAAGATCATAAATAATGCTAAACCTCTTGAGTCTTGCTGTGCTTTCGTGTCCTCTCGCATATAGTATGGAAAGTGATACTTTCTAGCTACAACTCCACAAAATGTTAGAAATAGAAATATTGTTGACAAACCACTTTGAACTTCCTAAACTCAAAGTAATCCAGAACTGTGGCATTTTACACTGACTGCACTGAATGCATCATAGCCCACTGGAGATGTGCGCTTTGTGACAGGACTGCTGCCGACAGATATTTGCCTGTGAGAGGCTTTTACTCTTGGATTTTATCACTCTGGGAGAAATGGCCCAAGAGCTTTTGTGAATGAAATCATCCAGTAAGGACAATGTGCAGTGCTGGCATTCCCGCATGCCTTTCCCATTTTAAGACCATGACATGGAACTGGTTATGTTCATGAACATCATTCTCTCCCTCAGCTCTCTCTTGCTCCTCTACACAAATTATTTTCTGTTTTAGTCAGTGTCTTTGATCCAGAACAAATGGCCTGGGGAACAGGGAATCACTTCACATATATATTTAGCTAGTAGACAGATTAAAGTGAAGTTCACTTTGGGTTCAAGCTGTCAGCTCAAAGTCAAAGCAAGTACTCCCAAAAAAGGACCAAAACATGAATGGCAACTCCTGGATTCATGTTTACTTTTTCATCAGAAATTAGCCCTCAGATGAACTGTGTTTCCAGTGCACTTAAAGTATTGTGGACTGTCAGCCTGTGAGCCCATGTAGCAGCTGAGTGCATTCGTTCCTTTACATGCACTGCACTTGCTTTCACCCCTGCACACTCAAAGTTCTCAAAGAGTGCTCCAGATAAAACACCATCTGCCTCGCAGCTACAAGGGCATTCTCATTCACCTAAAGCTGACTGCTTGAGTGCCTCAAGGAGAACTAATTACCCAGCCCATACTTACCTCGACAAGCCTGGGCTGTACCCTATGGAAGGCACGCCCCAAGCATTTAATGACCAGACATTTCAATAAAGCTTACTGGCATGGAAAAAACAAAACACATCTTTGCCTCTGCTCAGAATGAGGGCCTCAGAGAAGACCTGTCCGTAAAATCTGTCTCAAGTCGCAAGTTGATATAATCATGCACTGCAGTCTAGTGGGACTCTGAGGGGAGAAAGTGGACTGCAAATTGTCCAAGGACACCAAGTGTGCAGGATAATCTTGGTAACTGAGAAAGAACCTGAGTCCTGCTCAGCAGGTTGAAGAGTGGGACCTACAGGAAAACTAAGTGTGCAGTCCAGAACAGTTGTTTATGTTTCGGAAAGTACATGCTGAAAAGCTGTGGGTAAGCCCTGAGCTTTGAGGAAAGAAAGAGCTCATTCCGCTGTGCAGGACTCACCTTCGTCATTTTGTTATGCAATGCCTGTCTTTGTCATCGTGCTGATTTGCACTAAATTGTGTATTATCGGACCATGAGTCACGGCAGTATTATTCCCTGGGGTCTGTCATAATGGCTCCATGGTTTGAGTGATGTACTGAAAAAAAAAGGAGTTGGTATTTTTCAAATTACAATGTGCTCACTTTTCTAGTACTTATAGCAATGTACTTTCAAAGAGCTCAATATGCATAATAATTATTTCAATGTAATAAATAAAGCAAAGGCAGGAAGAATGGTCCTGTAGCTAATGTGCCAGACTGGGAGACAGGATATCTTTATTCTATTTTTGACTGTGCCAGATGCTGTCTGGGACCTTAGAGAGATTGTTAAGCCCAAATTTCCAAAAAGATGCATCCCCTGCTCCAATTATTAATGTTATATACAGAGACTGGTTCTGGGGAAAATAAAAAAAAAGGAAAGAAGCACACATTACTCAGAATCTATTAGTGTAGTGGAAAACAGTCTAATCAAAGCTGAGAGCTAATTATTACCAAAAAAGAAAGAAAAAAAGAAAGAAATTAAAGAATGCTACTACTACTAGGGAAAGAAAAAAAAAACAGAAATAATAAACCATTTCATTTTTTTGTAGTCACACTCTTCCTGTTTGCCTTTTTTTTGGTGTGGTGCTTACCCTTCCACTGCCCCTCTGAGACCAATGGTCAACAGTGCTGGCTTTGTAAAGCAGTGGATGACAGGGCTGCAGCTAGTCATCTGTGTCTTACCAACAAATTCTTTGCAGAGAAAAACAAATAACTGTTATGGGGCTATTTTTGTGTGGTTTTTAAGATGCCTTCACACCTTGTTCTTTATCCATTTGTCTACTGCTCCACTTTACATGCAATTGTATTATATGGGATGCCATTTAGGTATGGTACATACTTGTTCTTTGTGTAATCTCTCAATTATCTTTGTCCACTTCCCAGGTCTGCACTGCTTTAGCTCCCTGCTGATGAGCTCTTTGTAGCCCCAAGTTCTCCAGTGCTCCTTTTTTCGCCATCCTATGCCTCTTCTAGAGTGTCCTGTGAGTCCACTCTCAGGGGACTCTGATGTTATACCAGGTCTGTATTCCTCTACATATTATTATGTTATCCATCATTATATTAGTTATAAATGATGTTATACATCATTATGTTAGTTATAAATATCTTATTGTCTGCAGCAGGATTTCTTGTCACTCTCCATATAAAAGCCACAATGGTGCCATACAAAGTTAAACAAAAGTAAAACTGTTAGACATAGCTATCTTCCCATTAGAGATATTGCTGTTGCAACAACTAAGTGAAAGAAAGGCACAGACAGGTCAATAAAACTCAGACAACATGAGGCTCAGTCCTGAGGCCTTGCAAAGTCAGTACAAAGCCTGTGGCCTCCTGCCAGCAGTGGTCATATTAGCCTACAGGATGAGAGTAATTGCATGCAAGTTCTGCTTGTCTAACTTCGCTCGTCTTTAAAAAAATAATAACAAAAACAACATAATGGACTCTCTTGGTCTTAAACCAAATCTTTGTGCTGTGGTGCTTTGCCCTTGTTTATATGCAGAGGATCAAAATGAGCATGATGAAGATAATATGCTGAACTACAGGGGAGGTATCTGTCACTCATCATTGCATTTTTTAAAAGGTTAAAAAAAATAAAAAAAGTAAAAAATCCAGGACTTGATGTTTCTAGGCTGATAGAGAAAGTGTGCTTGGCATCACTCAGCTTAAGAAAATAAGTGAAATAGCTTAAGAATCTTCTTTGCAGAGATGCTGGTATCTACAGACAGATACAGGATGTGACCTTACATATGTGAACATGTGTCAGTGCATGCATGGCCCACCCATAATCTCTTAAAGGAGCGGGAATCTCCTATCCTTTATAGAGCAGAGGGGCTCAACAAGAACACTCCTCTTACAGTTCACCATAACCCCCAGATTTGACTTGAAGGTGAAAAAAAAATGTGATGAATAGCACATTAAGTGGGAGCGTAGGAGAGGGTGGAGAGGTAGAAAAAGGGTGAACCGTTACCTGTAAGCGAAATGGGGGAAAAAGATAAAAAATTTGGATATGCAGGCATCTTCATTGTTTACATGCCATTCAGGTTTTTCGAATAATTATGTAAATAAAATTAAAAGTGAATAGAATAATCATATTGATAAGTTGGAAAGTGAAATTTATACTCATTTTATAGCAGGAGGTGATGTATGATTTGCATGAAAATTATTGAAAAACTTAAAAATACTGAGCCCATTCTATTTTGGCACTAGCGAAACAAAATAAAGAAAAATAATGTATTTTTTCCAGTATACTCAAGACTAAGAACTTACTATAACAAGTTCTTCATACCTGCAAGTTATTTCAGGAAACAAACATCAGCATTGTTACTTTTCCAGAATAACTTCAAGTTTGTATGATTTTAAAGCTACATTCAAAATACAGTAAGCTAAATTGGAGCAAGTAATTTTTATTCCACAATAATGGTGTCAACAGAAATAATTCATCAGGCAGGAAATAGATGGAAAGCCCTGTGTAGAACAACCCTCTACAAATGCTTTGGAATTTGGGACAGGAAAGACATATGATAGAGTAGACCATAGTTTTGATCTTAGCTTATATATGGAGCCAATTTAGCAATTAGCTAGTAATTAAGAAAAAATGCATTCTTAAGCAAAGAAGAATAATACTGAAGAAATTAAAAGTTCCATGAAAAATCACAGAATCTTAAAATGTCTTGGGTTGGAAGAGGCCTTACAGATCATCTTGTTCCAACCCTCTACTATGGGCAGAAATACCTTCCACAGGACTAGGTTGCTCAAACCCTGTCCAACCTGGC